TAACTACCGGAGGTCAGGATCTATTGGTAGATTATTAAAACAAATGGCCAGTCTTGGTCAGTTCTGGTCAGTCTGCAGGAGCAGGAGGTTTTAAGTCTAGCCGATTCAATTATTGCCTTGGCAAGTTTTGAGATCATGAACAATATCACCAGCAATGTTCGCAAGGCTTATGTCAGTTTATCTGAATCAGCCCGTCAGGAGTGGCTGACATTGTTTATACCAGTTTCACTTCTACTGTTACAATGTTATAACAAAATACAAAATATATTTGTTTTGCAACTTTCACAGTACCTCAATGATGTTTCCAAAGACTGGTCGCTTTGAACATTTTCGAAACATTTAAGCTCCTATTTGACAATGGTGTCAGCCCACAGATGAAAAGGCCAATCAAAGGCTTAAAGTGCTATTGCACTCAAATGTCACAGCTTGCATGGACACATTACCGTGACACCCACGCAGTAACCTATTCTGAAACTGGCCATGGGCTCACCAGAGGTTTGTAGAGAGACGACATGCTAACCACAGGTGTCTAGGGGGACTGGCCCCCCCGTCTCTAAAATATTATATAGATGTTAAATTATGAAGAAAAAAAATCGACTCCAATAATTTTGTTCACTTGAAATGGGGGCCAATAGATCAACCCCGAAAATAATGCACGGTTCAAACCTCCAGTCATGGAAGAGACCCCTTATAAGGTTCCTCATATTCTCATACAGTAGACCTTTTTCTGAACCTGCTGGAGACGGCTTTCAATTACAACAACAAAACTATGGAGTAATAACCTGTGTGCTGACCAGTAATAGAACCTACTGTGTAGGTGGACGTCACCTGACTTGGCTTCGTATATAGATGGTGATTATATTTATGTCTGGAGCAAAATCAATAGTCTGTCTATTTGGAATAATAGTCACTGACCATTACCGACCATCACTGATCAACGCCATCATGTACCTATATGTAGGTCTGTGATTGTCGGAAATATGCACTAAATCACTGATGTTAACTGACCATCACTGACCGTCGTCATTATGTATCTATATGTTGGTCTACGATTGTTGGTAATATGAACTTAATCACTGACGATTACTGACCATCACTGACCGTCGTCATTATGTATCTATATGTTGGTCTACGATTGTTGGTAATATGAACTTAATCACTGACGATTACTGACCATCGTCATAATGTATCTATATGTTGGTCTACGATTGTTGGTAATATGAACTTAATCACTGACGATTACTGACCATCACTGACTGTGGCCATTATGTACCATAATTGGTAAAAACACAAAAGTTATACATATGTATATTGAAAATGTGAGTAGCAGCTTATACAAGTCAAATGATGAATATCAAAATGAAAAGCATCCCAATCAATTCTCTCCGATATAATCACATCTTAATGAATGTGTAACCATTGGACAATTCAATAACTACATCTGCAGGCTGTTATTGATGTCAACACACAATGGTCAACAGAGATCAATATAGCTTTAAACATCCCGCCTATTTACCATATACTGTACATTATTCATAAAGTCAGAAATCATACAGAAGTCCATTCCAACATTTCCCTTGATAAATGTTTTTACTTACACAGCACTGATCCCTCAATCAATGCACGTCAATCAATTTGTTAAGTGTAAGAGGATACCTGTACCGTATACAATGTACCTGTGGAAAAACTATAGAAAAAACAGGCATATTTTTCAAAACAGCAGCATTGAAGTTCGTACAAACTTTACCAGCCTTTATACAGAACTTATAACTGTATTATTGTATGAAAGATTTTCTTATTCTTAAGAGGAATTTAATTTTGTGAAGCAAAACAGTTTGTCAATTCATGTAACCTGTTATCTGTAATAACTTGTGAGAAAAGAAAAATTATTTAGAAAATGCATAACTTTTCATGAATTCAAGTAATTTGCTAGTTATCAGAAAGACGAATCTAAAACACTTACGAATTGTACAATTTTTTTGTGCTTCATGAAATATTTGCAAAAACATATTCTCCTTCTATTTTGCATAGTCTGTTTTGTTCAATCTTTATGTATAAAACAGATAAAAAATTATACAAAAAAGTGCAAAAACTTCCACAAATAAGGTTAATGAATTTATCAAAACCAAAATCATCTGATAACCTGCATCCATCGAAGTTGTTTAAAAACCTTGGATGCAATTTTTACTAAATTTCATACCACAAGGACTAGCAACTACACAGTGTAGCAGTCGTGACTTGAGATGCCTAGCTAAGTGATGATCAATGAGTGTGGGAAGTGTTTCTCTGTCAGGGGTCAGTCAATGTCTGACTTTCTGTTTTGAGAGATAATAAAATACTTGAGGTTTGGAAACCTACCACACACACATGCTGTAGAAATTATTCTCCCGAGACTTGAGTTACACAATACACATGTTTTCCCTGAAGTTTAATCTGGCATGTCTACGAACTTAAATGTTAACTTGAAGGCCCTTAAATTCTAAAGTACATGCAATTTAAGCTAACTTTCAAAATTTAATAAAACATAAGGAATTTTGCTTTAAGTATGTACAGCAGGCACAGAGTCTCAATAAGTCAATGAGCCAACTAGACTTCACTTTCAGTAGATAGTCCAGCCATTTTAATTACAGGTAGATAATCAAACCACCTTCTTTCTCAACCAAAAAAATCATACCAAGGGTTGGAGATTTCTCTGATACACCCTCAAGGTAGGGGATGGTTATTTTTCTCTCATCCTATTATTTCAGTCACAACTCCACAGCCATTAGTCTGCCATGTTTTGTAAACAAAAACACATGTGGGTATGCATATCGTCATTCACTTTTGATGACGTCACAATTACCGATGACACATTTTATGACGTCATTATTGAACACGTGCTAATCGGCACGAGGCTAGCTATCTCCTCCTAGGGGGTGACAAGCTGATCTTTCCCGGCTTAAACGGGAGATACACCTGTAAAGGGTGGGAGAAAATCCATTCTTTTTTTGTTTTTATTATATAATCCAGCAACCTGTGTTTTCAGTAGATAATCCAGCCATCCTCATTGTCAGAGGATACTACGCACATCTTCATTATCAGTGGATAAAGCGCTAGCAGTGTCATTTATTCTAAACAGATCATAAATCGAGTCACCTTTGTTTCCAGCATACATAGATAATCCAGTTCTTTTGTTTCTTGCAGATAATCTGTGTTGTGGCACCTATGTTCTTACTTGATAATCCAGCCTCTTTCATTATAACAGTAGTTTTTAGAAATCTATCCAGCCATTTTAGCCAATAGATAATTCTGCCACCTTCTTTTACAGGCTTTACTAAATTTACTTAAAAGTATCAGGTCCTTTGGATAATATGTGACCTTCATGCTAGAGGTCCAAGTGGAGTGATAAGAGGTGACCTATATATTAGAGGTCAAGGTGAAGTGATGAGGAATGACCTATTTGTAAGATAGTTGTTTTAGGGATCATATATTTGCTCTTTTCAATACAAAACTGTCAAGTAGACTATTTTAATAAAACATTTACTACTACTTCTTTAATGTAACAAGCTGGAGGTCTCACTGCTGAAGGTAAAAACCCTCAGTATGAATATAGAGGATAGCACAACTTCTTATTCAGATTGGATAATTTTACCAGGTCAAAGAAGAAGTTTGACTCATAGAAGTTCTTTCTAAAACCTACTATGGCACAATAGTTTAGAGGACTTATACCAATGACAAACTGGATTACAGGACTAGTGTAAATGACAAACTGGATTAAAGGATTAGTGTTAATGACACACTGGATTACAGGACTAGTGTAAATGACAAACTGGATTACAGGACTAGTGTAAATGACAAACTGGATTACAGGATTAGTGTTAATGACAAACTGGATTACAGGACTAGTGTAAATGACAAACTGGATTAAAGGATTAGTGTTAATGACACACTGGATTACAGGACTAGTGTAAATGACAAACTGGATTACAGGACTAGTGTAAATGACAAACTGGATTACAGGACTAGTGTCAATGACAAACTGGATTACAGGATTAGTGTTAATGACAAACTGGATTACAGGACAAGTGTAAATGACAAACTGGATTAAAGGATTAGTGTTAATGACACACTGGATTACAGGACTAGTGTAAATGACAAACTGGATTACAGGACTAGTGTCAATGACAAACTGGATTACAGGATTAGTGTTAATGACAAACTGGATTACAGGACATGTGTAAATGACAAACTGGATTAGAGGACTTGTGTAAATGACAAACTGGATTACAGGACATGTGTCAATGACAAACTGGATTACAGGACTTGTGTAAATGACAAACTGGATTACAGGACATGTGTAAATGACAAACTGGATTACAGGACATGTGTCAATGACAAACTGGAACTGATGCCGACTTTATAGTGCTTCCTCACTGAAACATTATACTGACAATGGGTGAACCAGTCGTCCCACTCCTAACTTGCTGAGCGTTAAGCAGGAGTAGAAACTACCATTTTTACAGACTCTGGTATGTCCCGGCCAGGGGACAGAACCCAAAGCCTTCCTCACAGGGACGAACGCTCAACTAAAGGCCAAAAGTGAGGCATTGTCAAGGGAGACATTAGGAAGAAGAAAGTTGTTTAGAAAGAAAAGAAAAGATAAGATCCCAAATTTAGTTGCCTCTTACGATCATGCAATGGGGGCAGCAGGTACAATTCTTACACCCTACCTGCAGGGACCTGGACCAGAGTTAATGACAAACTGGATTAAAGGATTAGTGTTAATTATAAACTGGATTACAGGACTAGTGTTAATTTCTGAATCTGATACATCATGTTAGACATCATCAAAATTCTTTATGATGAAACTAAAGCAATTTATAAAATGATCGAAGAGGAACGGGTTCACATGCACAATACAGCCTAGCATTATACTGAATTCCTCCAAATAAGCGTCTAACTGACGTTCCTCTGGCTCGATCAATAGGAATAAAAGAAAAAACAAGACGACTAATACTTACACATGAAGAGATTGAACATGTTTGCTGGAGGCTAGTAACCTGAACACTACTCTTTAGCGGTGACACACACGGCTGTAGTTGATATGCAGCTACACCAGATGTTGAGTGAGGGATCTAAAAATGCTGTTCCTCCCCCTGTATGGCCAGGGTTGGTGACAGGCCACTCCACCAGTGGTTGGTAGTTAAAATCCACACCAGATGTGTTGAACAGGATTCTAGGTGTATGTTAGTCTATAGGTACAGCCATATCAAGATCACAGCATCCACATACATGTATATATGTACACAGGGGCCTCGAGTGTTCATCCCTGTATCTACTTCAGCATCAGCTGCAGTACTACCAGTCAAATACTATCTGTGTACACTAATGGCTAATCGTCAATAAGACTGTAGGTAATTAACGCCCTCAAGACATCATACTGCACACCATAATAGCGAAATTGTACAGAAATCCACGTGGCATTTCAATCAATTGTAGCGAGCCATGATAATTGGCAGGAGCACCTGCCCTCGAAGGTTGTTATCAGTCTCCAGTACAATAGACATGCTACCTGTTTACTCACAGTGCCACACAGTCTTGCAGTAGCCACAGCACATACACAATACCGATTTTCACATGGTATTTTTCCCCCCAAAGTAATCAATGCCAGTAGGGCACCTGTCAGTGAGCCAGTCTAATAAAGGCAATAGTAGACAATGGTACTTTTCACAGTCACATTATCACTGTAACAGTATTGACCTATCATTGACCCCTACACCAGGATTAGTACATATATATGTTATATTATGTATGGCGTTATCAGTACTAGTATTTGTACAGTACTCCGGAGCAATGACGGTTAACTCTAAGACAGGTACTGAATATAGGCACTGATGGAGAATGTAATTATAAAGCTCTGGAATTGTATGATATGTATATATGAGTAAGACTTTAATTAGTATGAGGAGATAGAGCACCTGCTGCCATGATAGGTCAGTGATACCTGTGTTAATCTGATCCACCTATTATCATTTACAGCATGTGTACATGTACGTCTGCATAGATCTAGTGATCAACATAAACAAACCTCCGTAAACATGTACTTCACCAAAACACTGTTCCTACGCTGGTGTTCCTAATCACTGACAGTCGATCTAGACAGTAATTATTTTGCTTGTCACTTACGGAAGGATTTGTCTCGGTCACTGACAGTATGTCTAATAATTTTTTGTCACTGACAGTTTATCAAATAATCCATGGAAATTTATCTGTCGTCACAGATATCTAATCAATTAATTAATTCTATAAATCCTAGTCACTGACAGTACATTATATTGTTGCTTACTCCTTGTCAAAGTACATCAAATAATCCCTCGTAAACTATTCCTTGTCACAGACAGTTTATTAAACAGTTGCTTCGTAATCAATCCTATTCACTGGCATGACAGTGTATCAAATTATCTCTCATCTGGGACACCGTTCACTGACAGTTTATCAAATTATCTCTCATCCGGGACAGTTCATCAGATAATCCCTGGAAATAATTTCTCATCATCTGATAGTTGGTCAAATAATCGGATAGTTTTCCCTCATTACCGAAAGTACTTCGGTGTATTTCCTCATAAATAATTAGATAAACAAATAATCGCTGAAAATATCCCTTGTCCTGATATCACATCAAATAATCACTGGGAATTATTCCTCGTCCCTAATCCCAAATAATCTGTCGTAACTTTATCTCGTCTTGACAGTGCTTAAAACAGTTCCATCACTGACAGTAAGCATGAAACATCCCAGTCATAGTTAAAGAACCAAACATATATTCCCACACAGTTGACAGACTCCATGATCGCAAGCTGTTAATTTAGACTTTATCTTCATTCTGGCCTGTGAAAGTGTTCATCCTGTACACACACACACACACACACGCGCGTAACACAAGGTAAACACAGCACTTAGGCCTGTGTGTACAAATTAATTAGCAGATGTATCACATTGTTTCCACTACAGCATCTGCACATGAAGAATATAAAATCCGTGCCGTAATCGCCACCAATCAAGGGCGCCTAATGACAGCTTAGTTACATGCACCACACACAGTATAACAGTAAAACGTTACATGTTTTTGTGCTACACTATGACTGCAGCCTGAAAAAGTTTGACGCGAGGAGGGTTACACTTCACCTGAGCAGTAATGTTGCACTAGCTATACCCTAAAGTTTTACCATGTGTCAGGAAACCTCCCGTACAAAAACACATGTATTCTTGCGAGTTACGCTCATTTAAATGTGATGACATTCGTGCACATGCTGCAGTCACAATGGAGATAAATATCCTCATTCATCTTCAATAAAAATAAAACTATATGACATGGTGACGAATTCCCTCCATTCAGCTTCCTGTCAAGTCCATCTGGTCCTATCTCTGCTACCGAGCATGGTATGGAGAAACAGTAGGAGCGAGGCCCTTTGTTAAGCTGGGTATCTAAGGACCTGGGCTGATGGGGCATTGTCGGCTTCTACACAATAGAGATTGACAGCAAGCAGGCTTTTTAATACTCTTTATCACAGCAGAGAGGCAGCTTTAATAACGACAGGTTGTCCATGTCGGACTGCTGCTCCTGTAGTATGGGCAGGAAAATATATGGACAAACTCAAGCTTGCTACATGGTAACAATGGGAAAGGGGTTACTGGGAGAAACAAAAACATTGCAACTCAAATGACTCTAGGCAGGAAAATTAAGGAATGAACAATATAGCTTCTCCAACAGTGGTGGAGAATAAAATATTAAATGGAAATATTGCTTCTAGGGCAGAAATGCAATGGACAAAACATTGCTACTCTGTGGGGTGGGGTGGGGTGGGATCTAGGGAGTGACAAAAACATTGCTACTCTATTACAAGAGGCCCAGAGGGTCTGTATCACTCACCTGGATATCTAAGCAATCATGGCAAAATATTCTCCAAATTAGATCCAAGGGAATATGCCAGACCCCACGGCCAATCCTTGTAGCATATCTGTATTTGATTTTTATGCCCAGCAATTTTATGTATGGTTATGGGGTGGGGATCTCAACTGTTTCCAAGCTGTGACTCATAAACTAGGTCCCTAGGGTTGTGGCCAGACTCCAGGATAAATTCTAATATCAAGACTGCATTTGTCTCTTTTTGCCCAGCATTTGAATATATAGTTTTGAGGTGGGGATCTCAGCGGTTTCAGAGTTATGACCCAGGGGTTACGTCTGCAAGGGTGGGGCAGACCCTGGGATCAATTCTAATATCATGACTGCATTCGTCTCTTTATGCCCAACAATTATATATATAGTTTTGGGGTGGGGATCTTAACCGTTTCAAAGTTATGACCCAGGGGTTAAGTCTCCAATGGTGGGGCCAGACCCTAGGGCCAAACTGGAAGCAAATGTGCATTCCTCTCTTTATACTCAGCAATTGTATATATGGTTATATGGTGGGGATCTCAACCATTTCCAAGTAATTTTTTTTTTTTGCCCCACCCCTTAGCCCAGGGGTCAGCCCCAACATTTGTACAATTTTGAATCCCTGCCTCCCATGAATCCTTCCAACCAAATATGATCAATATCCATGGTAAAGTTCTACGGAAGAAGTCGTTTATAGCAATATAGCTAAATAACCCTTTTTGGCCCCGCCCCTCAGCCCCCACAGGGGGCAGCCACACCATTTGTACAATTTTGAATCCCTGCCTCCCATGAATGCTTTTGATTAAATATGATTGATATCCAGTGCATAGTTCTACAGAAGAAGTCGTTTGTAGCAATATAGCCAAAATGCCCACTTTTGGCCCCACCCATCAGCCCCCTGGGGGGTCAGCCCAACCATTTGTACAATTTTGGATCCACACCACCTAGGGATGCCTCCAGTCAAATATGGTTGATATCCATCCCTTAGTTCCAGAGGAGATGTCGCTTAAAGCAATATAGCCAAATTGCTCCCTTTTTGCCCTGCCCCTCAGCCCCCTGGGGGGTCGGCCCAACCATTTGTACACCACCTAGGGATGCTTCCAGTCAAATTTAGTTTAATTCCAATCAGTGGTTAGGAAGAAGAAGGCGTTTAAAGAAATTGTTGATGGACGGACGCAGGACGCCACAATTGGGCATAAGCCCAAGAGAAGGGGGGGGGATCTAGGGAGGGACAAAATCATGAGGAGATGTCGCTTAAAGCAATATAGCCAAATTGCTCCCTTTTTGCCCCGCCCCTCAGCCCCTTGGGGGTCAGCCCAACCATTTGTACACCACCTAGGGATGCTGCCAGTCCAGTCAAATTTAGTTAAATTCCAATCAGTGGTTAAGAAGAAGAAGTCGTTTAAAGAAATTGTTGATGGACGGACGCCGGACGCCACAATATGGCATAAGCCCAAGAGAAGGGGGGGGGATCTAGGGAGTGACAAAAACATTGCTACTCTATTACAAGAGGCCCAATGGGCCTGCATCGCTCACCTGGTATTAATCTCACACTTGTAATCTTAAAAGTGGACTAAAATACAGCTACAGGCAGAATAGCAGTGTGACCTTGAATGTCAAACAATGACATTAGGTTGAAAGTGGGTCAAGGTCATTCATTTGAACAAATTTGGTAGCCCTGATTGCTACAGGCCAAATATCAGTACCCTAGGCCTTTTGGTTATTGAGAAGAAGTTGTTTGAAGATTTTAAGACATTTGACACCTGTGACCATGAAAGTTGGTCAAGGTCATTCATTTAAACAAACTTGGTAGCCCTTCATCCCAGCATGCTACTGGCCAAATATCATCACCCTGGGCATTTTGGTTATTGAGAAGAAGTTGTTTAAAGGTTTAAACATATTTGACCCCTGTGACCTTGAAAATGGATGAAGGTCATTAATTGGAACAAACTAGGTAGCCCTTCATCCTAGCATGCTACTGGCCAAATATCATCACCTTAGGCCTCTTGGTTATTCAGAAGAAGTTGTTTAAAGGTTTTGAACATATTTGACCCCTGTGACCTTGAATATAAGTCAAGGTCATTTATTTGAACAAACCTATTAGCTCTTCAACCCAGCATGTCACTGGACAAATCTCATCACCCTAGGCCTCTTGATTATTCAGAAGAAGTTTAAAGGTTTTAAACATATTTGACCCCTGTGACCTAGAATATAAGTCAAGGTCATGTATTTGAACAAACTTGGTAGTCCTTCATCCCAGCATGTTACTGGCAAAATATCATAACCCTAAATATAAGCCTATCGGTTATTCAGGAGAAGTTGTTGAAAGGTTTTAAACATATTTGACCCCTCTGACCTTGAATATAAACCAAGGTCATTTATTTGAACAAACTTCGTAGCCCTTCATCCCAGCATGCTACTGGCCAAATATCATCACCCTGGGCATTTTGGTTATTGAGAAGAAGTTGTTTAAAGGTTTAAACATATTTGACCCCTGTGTCCTTGAATATAAACCAAGGTCATTTATTTGAACAAACTTGGTAGCCCTTCATCCCAGCATGCTTCTGGCCAAATATCATTACCCTAGCCCTTTTGGTTACTGAGCAGAAGTTGTTTAAACTTAAAAGTTGACGACGGACGACGCACCACGGCATAAGCTTACTTGGCCCTTCGATTTCGGGCCAGGTGAGCTAACAATGGAGAGGGGAGGAAAATCTAGGGAGGGACAAAATCATTGCTTCTCCAGCAAAACAAACTGATAAAGAAAGCATGATCATCGACCTGCAAGTAATGTATATATAAAGCAGTTAACATCTGGTCCATAGATAAGTGAACTTTAACCGGCAAAGTAAATACAACATATCCATCACATGTAATCCATAGACATGTGAATTTTTCGTAAAGGTCATATAAATACAGACAACAGGCTCGTTCATAGAGATATGAACTTCACTACCAGTGATGAACACAAACATGGTACAGTCCATAGACATGTGAACTTATACTGCAGGTCATATCAACAGAGATAAAGGTAAGTTCATAGAGATATGAACTTCGAATTCACTACCAGTGATAAACACAAGCATGGTACAGTCCATAGACATGTACTAATACTGGACTTGATAAAAACAACAACCTGACAATGTGTTAATTCACAGCCATATAAAATTTTCTTGGAAGTGTACACATGTTTACATGTCACAGACAACTTGTAACTCATCTATAGACATACATGTGTATGAACCTTCACTAGACTAGTGATCATAAAAATACAACTTGTTTATAGACATGTGAACTTTTTAACAAGATGTAAGATCAAGGCCCAAGGGCATCTGTAAAATCTGTAGATGTACTTCAGAAAACATAAACACTGTTTTACCTTCAATTTGCCTAGCTGCTCTATCAGGGTTAATAGAAATTTGTTACAATAAAAAATACAATTATATAATATCTAATAATAATATCTTTTTTATAATACACATGTGTGTGAGGAAGTTGAAGTTATATTAAGGTAGTATGTGTGTGCAGTACAATAGCAGGACAAAGCTGTCGAGATCAATAGAAGGCACTTCTTCCCCCTTTTCTCACCACCGTTCACCACCACCGTTCACCACCGTTCACCACCACCGTTCACCACCGTTCACCACCGTTCACCACCGTTCACCACCACCGTTCACCCGACTGAACTCCGACATTACAGATATGACACGCTGGGTCTCTGACTCATTCTTTGGTTTATCTGGCAATCCAATGACACGCCGACCATGAGATTTCACGCTCGGTGTAAAAATGCATTTAATGAGCAAGTCATTAAACGCTAAAACGTCAGACAAAACGCTTGTACACGTGCATCCTGGGCCTCACAGCAAGTCTTTGTCAGTCACATAGAAGTCATCACCAATAATCGATGGAAATATTTAAAACAACAGATTTGACTTCCGAAGTTAGGAACATTTACTTCTGCCAGCAAACAAATGAGTTCAAAATCTTGTTTGTCTTGCCTTAGACTTCATCATTGAAGCGAGACATGGGTTCTACTTTCCTGGGGGCAGCAACAGCAGCAGTGATAGTGTCAAATGTTAAAAGTTTTGCATTTAGCTCTGCTTCTCAGCAACTATTATTAATGCAGTACAGTATAACAACTAAATGTGGTGCAGTCACAGTTTGTAGCTAATTACATGTATATCTCAATTCCGGACCAAAACTTGGGTTTGACGGCTGACAATGGTTTCTTTTCGGGGTAAAAGACATACAATTTTGATGAATTTTGAAAAATAGACATTACTTCTTTTCTGAGTAATCTGAGTGAC